CCTCCATCCCGCCAGCGGGGGTTCGCGCCGCCCTGGCTCTGCAGATCAGCCTGGGTGAGACGCTCCACCTCGGGACCCTGCAGCTGTGCTCGCCGCCGGCGTGGATAGGACCTACGTGGCCGGCCCGCGTGGACAAGCACCTGAGTACCTTCGTCTTTAGCACATGGCCCACTGCTCCCTCACCAGAACCACTAGGGTGACCACAGGACACCTGCGGCCCTACTTCCTGGCCCTGTGCCTGCCAGCCACGCCTCCTTCAACTGCAAGAATGGTCACATCACCAATTACACCTGCCCTGTCCCGCCCTCCCCATGAACTCCTCCATGCCAGGCGAGGGGGTGGGCAGGGAGGGGCGCTCAGGGAGCAGCCTCACCCATGCCAACCCCAGTCCTCCTGCCTGTCTCCCAGGAACTCCTTCCATTCTGAGCACACCTCCTGGAGAGTCTACGGCATGGTGTATCTGATGGTGCGGGTGGGCGGGAGTGGGGCCACACACCCGGCCAGCCCAGAGAACACCGCATTGTCTCTCTGTCACCATCTCCCACCCCCCTCCCCTGCACCATCAGTGCCAGGCGCGGCGTCCACAGAGCCTGTGTGTGGCCCGAGAGTTGGGAGAGATTCTCTCCTCTTTAGACTCATTCAGCAGCCTCCTCCCAGCACAGTAGCTACCAGAACTCTCTGTCTCTCCCTTCCCCCCACACTGGAGAAGGCCAAGCCAGGCTAGGTCCTTACCTAGGGCTGGGCAGCACCGGGGCAGTGGGGAGCTGAGCTGAGGTGGACGTCTAAGTTCCAGGCGGCGAAGTGGAAGGGAGGGGCTGGGGAGTGGGGGCGGGAAAGATATCTGGAGGAGAGCCAGTGACCCGCTGGCCCGGTGTACAAAGAGACCATAGATTTGGGTGTTGGAAGCTGATGGCACGCATCGGAACCACCGCAGCGGGCAGACACATGACACAGACAGGCGCAGGCCACGGGGCACGTGATGGTCACACGGCTGCCCTGACACCAGCCACAGACTCTTCCTGAAAGACGACCCGTTTGATTGCCAGCTATTCCCTTTATTTCTTCTTCCTTTTGTTCTTTTTTAAAAATGTATTTAACTTTGTTGTTATTATTCATTTTTGTTTTCATTTGACCAGAGAGAGGCAGAGAGAAAGGGAAAGTGAGAAAGCAAGCCACCAGGTCTGAGATTCGAACCGCAGTCGGCCACTTGAGAGTCCAACACCTTAACTACTATGCCATTCGCTGGCCCCTTTATTTTTCTTTCTAAAGACCAAGTAACATAGGCAGTAAAGTATACTGTGGTGATAACGAGCAGGGGCTCTGGGCCTAGTCCCAGCCTCCATAGTGTGTGGCATGGGGTGAGAACCTCAGCGTCCTTGGGCCTCCGCTTCCTCAGCTGTAAAGTGGGCATGCAGACTCCTACTCCCATGGGTGTGGTTTCCTGAGTTCAAGAATAAGCAAGTGGATATACATAAAGCCCCTGTCCATAGAGCAGGACCTGACCGAAGATCTAGTCTGAACATCACTGTCAGTAATAGGCCAGTGAGGCGCAGGCAGGTGGTGTGATAGTTACGGTGCTGGACTCCCACATGGCTGACCGCAGTTCGAGTCCTGGACCTGGTGGCTTGAACTTCACTCCAGATGTGTGTATGTGCGTCCCTAAAATCCCAAGGGGAGAATGGAGGAGAAGGGATTGCGGCATGGCCATCCCCTCTGGGGGGTGATTTCTCACTTTCCCCCTCTCTCTCAGGCAGCCACATGCACTCTACAGCAAAAACTTAAAAAATAATAATAATACTGGACCAGCAGGTGGCATGGTGGTTAAGGACGCTGGACTCCCACATGGCCGACCATGGTTCAAGTCCCAGACCTGGTTGCTTGTTTTCTCACTTTCCCTCTCTCTCTTTCTCTGTCTCTGTCTGATCAAACTGAAAAGTAATCATAATAAATAAAGTTAAATTTTTTAAATTAAATAATAATAATACTAACAGGCCAGTGGACCTCCTCTGTTCCCCCAAATTAATCCAGAGGTAAGGCACACACCGGTTATGCCCCAGATGGGATGGGAATGTTCCCTCCCTGCCCAGGGTAGACACATTGCACACAACTAGCAGACGGGCCTCTGCCCGGTTTCGTGCACCTCAGGAAAGGTACAGTTTTGTGAGCAAAATGCTCTGGTCTCATGAGTGTCCCTCGGTTGCTGCCTGATCTCTTCCAATACACATGCCGGCCACTTCTCCAGTCGTCCTGCTCAGACCAAGGAAGCAGAGTAACCTGGTTAAAAACTTTTTTTTTAAATAATTATTTTATTTAAC